AGTGCGTCTTGAAGTCACGGTGTCTAGGAGAAGGCCGCAGTGCGTCTGCTAGATACATCTATCGGGGATAAACGAAGGCATCAGTGCGTCGTTTATTCGCAACCCAGTATAGACAAAAGATCGATCCGTCATCACACCCCTCGCACGCACCCTCACGCTCGCTCGTCCTCTCGCGCGCATCAAGTCCGATGCGCGCTGCTGGCTCGTACCTGCCCACTCGCATGTATTCGTGCATCCGTTCATTGGCCCATAGCAATCCCCCTCGCGCGCCATTTCGCCTATTCTCCAAGCGCCATGCGCGTCTACGCCAATGCGCGTGTGCGCGCCTTTGCCTACTGCCTTGTACATGCCGCTTTCCATGCGCTTGAGTGCCCCGCATACGAGCTCGTACCCGTCTCTTAGGCCATGCATGCGTCGTTTTGACCCTTTTTCCAGCCTCATCGGGTCGTCTCGCCTCTTGGATCTTCTTGTCGTCGGGGCTCGGAACCCACTTCCGCATCACGGGTGCTGGGCACGCGAGGACTTTGGGCGACGGCGTGCGAGCGAAGCAGGGCGTCGCTTGGGCCTGGTGGTGAGATAGAGAGGTGGGTAATGGTGTGGGTGATAGATTGAACGTGGGGAATGGGGTTGGATTAATTTGGGGTGGGGCCTACTAAGGTGGTAAATAATAATGTGTGAATAAATGACCGTAATGTCTTTAATGATGATATAATTTTGGTTGTTTTTAGTCATTAGATCATCCGATCTAATGGCTATGATTTATTCTTATTCCTTTCATTGAGCACAATTCTCATTTGAACTCAACCCTATTTTATATAATGTTTTAAGTCTTTTTAATAGTTTAAACATACATGTTTTATATTATCTTAGACAAGATAATTTTATATTATAAATTATCTCGTATGTTAACCCCCACTTCTTAATTTATAATTATTCTTTAATATTATTTACTCACTCTTTAATTTATAATTATTATTCAATATAGTTTTCCCGTGCATGGACTATGCACTAGTTTATTATTATTCTATTTACATATATTCTAACAAACAAAACTATTGTCGAACAAATAAAACTATTGTCATATCGTTCATCTTATATTCAATTATATTTTCAAATTATTAATATTTTTCCGAACACTTTTGCTAGTGAGAACTTTTCTTCATGAAAGCTATCCAATCAAAATTACAAAATCTAAAATATTCTTCCCACATACTATTATTAATTTTAGTTCCAAATTACAATCACCTCAAAATATACAATTTCAATTTTTATTTTATTATTATTTTTTTTTTTCACTCAAGCTTGCTAATTTCATTGTGCTAGAATAGATATGTACTATTAAAGCAAAGATAGTTTGAAACAAAAAATGGCAAATCGTTTTTACTACAAGATGCCCATTTTTTTTTTTGGAAAATTGTTTTTAATAAAAAATCAATATTTTTTAAAGGAATCTATTTGTTTAGTTAAACTAAATGGAAACATACTTTTAACTATATCTGATTATCAAATATATATATCAAGAAGTCAGCCAGCTTTCCTTAAAAACTTCACTGAACTAGCAACAATGCAAATGAATAAATTGCATAAGACCCGTTTCATAAAAGATGAAAGTAACATGTTTTGACTTGTCATTCAAATAGCGTCTTTAGTGATGCATATTTCCCAACAAGCCCCAGACACAGTAGCAAAAACTCATGCAGTCCCATTCACTCGCACATGAAACGGCGGTCCACGACAAAAGATTGGCTCGTCAGATGATTGACTTCTTGCTCTAGCTCTAAGAACTTCATTAGCCTCATCAATCACAGCAGCAGCCAACATACTGTACTCGCCTGGGATCAGAAAATACAGAGAGAAAACATGCCTCATTTCTTCAAGTGGAGGAACCTCCATGGCTATACCACTCAAAACACCTGAGATATATATATCAACATGGGAAAAAAAAAAAGGTGACTTCACATAGAAGCTTGGGCCATTAGATAAAGATTATTAGAAGTTAAAAGGAAAGCCAACACAATTAATGTAGCACCTTCCCATAAAACAGTTGCCTTGCCACCCTCGACACAGTTCTGACCAGCTACATCTTTGCATGTGATGCTAAGGACAATTTTTATAGGTTCTTTTGTATTGTTGCGTACCAGCACTTCCATCATAGTCATGTCATGGGCTTTGACGAGTGTCTCTGAGCTACTTTTAGCAAGTTTAAATCCAAACGTGAGGGGATCTGGAAGCAGCACATCCATAACTGATGCCTGGAGAGCATCCTGTATTGCATCCTTAATGTCCAATTCTCCCGAACTGTTACGTCCAGATTGCCACCTCACTTTAATTCTAGAGATCAAATCTTTAGTGGATGCATTGAGCTCAGCCTTAATATCCTTTTCGGAGAAACTACAACTTCTACCACTGAATGTCCCATTACCTTGAGAACAACTCCTGACAAGAAAGGAGCCATCAAGAACAGGTAATTTAAAATGTTCTAGTGGTATTAGCACTCTAGCAGTACATTCCTTGTCAATCCTTGTTTTGGGATCACCAAATTCGGCAGAGGTAGAACGGGGCGAGCCATCCTTGTTATTGAGTTTCTCCATGTCAAGAGAAACCCTAGTCTCAAAGACAACATCTGTTGGGTTAGACAGCTCCAATTCAAGTAATCGCAGCCCCCAGCTTCCCCTGTAAGGATTGATTTTCATCAAACCATCAGTTTGTCTTTCAGAACCATTGGTCTGCTCGGTAGGATCACTTTTGGATTGCACGAGCTTGGTGTAAAATTCACCAACATGAGCTGGAATTTCCATTGATAGTAAACGAGCTTTTACGAAGGACAAGCCCTGCAGAACATAGATGTTTAACGGAACAACCAGACGTCTCCCGGGAGGTGGAATAAATCCTGGTTGCGGCTCTTCGGAATTTATCACTGGGCCTAAGAGGACAAAGATGATTATTACAAGCAATACCAACATAACTCTATCGAAATTAGGAGGAATCAAAATGCAGCAGTAATATACCTGCGTAGTGAATCACTAACATTGGGGTGCTCCCATCTTTAAGTTGTTTCCCAGAGACACCCTTGCTGGCAGCAGCAGCATCAGAATCTGTAATGCCAAGCTGCCAGGCTTTCAGAGTCACACATATCGTCACTTCTGCACCAGGTTTTAAAGGAAGGGCCGACTTTAGAGTTTCAAAAGCAACTGATACTATTGAGTCTTGGTTTTTTCCAGAGAATGAGATGTGCGCCTGTTCAACTGGAACCGTGCCTGCATTGGCTAAACTAATCCGTACATTGCGGATTTCACCTTCATATAACATGATGGAGCAATCACCGCCTACAACATGAGATACCAACAACGGGAGGGGTGGTACCACTGATATATTCGGTACATTTGCACTTCTTAATTTCGCTGCCCCACAGCTCCTGAAAGGGTCAGAAAGCACAAGTCCTTGGGTTGCCCCAATAAGCAAATTGTCAACTTCCTTGAAAAAATGTTCAGTGATCACGCCAAAACAGTGAACAATGCATCCAGGGATTGAAACTGGACCCTCCTTGGTTGGGATCCCAGATAACGTGATCACTTTTGAGGAATTGGGCGGGAGACTAACACTTACAGGGAAGGCATCAAGATTTTGGGAACTCACAGACAGATAAATGCTATCGACCATCACTTGGAAGCAACAAGGATTTGCTAATTCCACCAGCACTTGGACAGGCTCACCAACCACCCAGGTTAGTTCCTGCTTATCTCCACGATTTGGCTCTCCTTTGCTAAATGGTGTATATATGAACGGCCCTGAAGGAGCAGACCCTAACCACCAATCTTCTCTAGCTAGATTGCGTTTAACAATGTCCATTTGTGATGAGTGTAAAGGAAATGAATGCAACCTACAATATTCAACAGAAATGCAGATGGTTTGAGGAAAATAAATGCTGTTGCAGTGATAACACAACCCATGATGTTTGGGATATAAGGATGTTTTTCGGGCAACTTATTTTTTTCCTTTTTTTTTTTTTTTTTTACAAAAACATGCATCTTTTGAAATAGAGAGAACAGAGAGAATAAATAGATAAATAAAGACATAATTAAAAGCTTCACGCTTGACAAACATGTGTGCACATAGACAGGTGCTCTACAAGTCCCAGGGATATACACACATAAAATTCCATGAAGAAACAAAAACTTGAGAAGGCAATGCCAAATGGACTCATTTTAAACAGTCAGCTGTGAAATTTATCTATTGCAAAAACAAGCGAGCAATACATTAACATAAAGTACCTGATGAAGGGTAGAGCTGGGTCACCACAACGAGTTCCCAATGGAAGCCTCACAGCTGCGTTTGCAAGTGCATTGGCAAGACCATTCTGCCCAGCTGGAGTGATTAAAGGATAATAAGACCTAAGTAAACGTGCAGCAGCACTCCAAGCAGCAAGAGGATCCCCCGCACGAACTGCAGACAGAAGAACTTCTCTCAGCACAACCATCTGCAGGGTGCTCCACTGTGACTCAAACAAGGAGACTATTGACTGGTGGTGCATTTTTCCTCCATCAGCGTAAGTTTGTCCATTGTCCTTTTAACAAAATTATTATAAAATCATATAGATATCATCCAGACAAATCAAAACAAGACATTATTGACACAAAAATGAGATTCTATATAGGACAAATGAGCTTCTTAAGTGGTACTATGATAAGAAAAAGTATGTCTCATATGGTTAATATATTTTGAGACGCTCAAATAACTTGAAAGTAAGATGGTCAGGTATCACTCAGCTACATGAAAACTGCATTTTTCTAGAGAAAATAGCCCACATCTTGCAATAGATTTATTGTGACTTGACAAAAATACAAATGTACATATAATATATTTACTGTTAACAAAAATCTATCAAAACTCCTCCATACCTATGCAATCATCATAGGCATATATTAAGATCAAATTTAGGCATTATTACACATATGCAAGGAAGAGGACCTTTTTGTCATCACCAAATGAAAATCTAATTCCAAGATTCATGCTTGACCTATCATTATTGTCACTGGAAAATCTACTATCTTTCTAGAAAAATCTAACGCCCGAAAAAAATCTCAATTCTAACATCCTTTAATTATTTTTAGAGAGTACATATGCCAGTACATTAGCCTTCATCGGAAGTACATAGTCCTCAAGCATCAAACTCCAAACCAAAGTTTAAAAGCTACCCTAGCGGTTAAAAAAACTCACATTACAAGGTTGACTAGACGCTCGACTTTGGACACGATAAGCTTTTGTTGTCATGGCCAAGACTTGCATTGCACTGATAGCAGCAAGCTTATTGTCCTGTTGCAAGTACAACTGAGCCACTTGCCGTGAGAAAAATGCAGCTTTTCGATGATAATCAAGTGCACCAAAAAGCCTTGCTATTTCAACATATACTATTAGCTTGTCACTGGCATCGATCAAAGATGTTGCTCCATCAGCAGCAGCTGTAAGCAACTCCACCACCTCCTTAGCTAGCTCTCGCCTTACCATAATAAAAGGATGAGACTACAGATTACATATAAAAGGACATCTAAAGGGAAAAAGGACATGCATAAAGGATTAGTAGAGTACCTGCAAAGGAATCTTGCCAACTTTAATGTTGCCTCAAGTTCAAAGCTTAAGGGAGAAACCCTGTGCAAGATAATATTCATGATAAAACTGAAGTAGAACTCATGGATCAGATACGTTAAGAGAATACGAATCTTTCAAAGAAAAGTCATGCAGCAATCTACCATACAATTGGAGCAAGCTAGGTACAGGTAGCAAGATCAATATTTATAAATTATATTATAATAATGGAATGGAGAGCACACAATTTTGATTCGATCACTCAATAATGTTACTGCATCATGAATCCATCACACCAAGCCTCCAAGAAAGCATATTATATATAAAAATGAATTAAGTCAATGCACAACAAGGGATCGGATCTTTACTCCAAATGGTAAAATGCATCCATAAGGAGGATTAGGCCTGTGAAAAGGTTGTGACTGGTGTGATAACATAAATTTTATAAAATTAAACTAGTAAAAATTTGACAAAACATTGATCAAGAGCTGCAGAATTGGATAAAAATTAAGTTTACCTTTGAGCATTATCTTGTATAAATGATTTTCTGTAGTGCAAAATGACACTGTTGTACCGATATTTAACCTCATCCTCCAAAAGTGGATCCTTCAGGCCCATACGATCCATCTGATAACACAAATTTAGCGACAAACGGATCATGCTATGGTAGGAAAAACTGACAATGCCAAAAATAAACAAAGTTCGGGATAAGCATTTGCCGTGGAAGTGGATTCGTGACAACTATTATGAACCAAATTTTTCGCATCACTCAAATGGTCTGTGTTTATTCCATCTCAGATCACTTCATCTCAATGCAGTTTGGGGCAATTGAAGCATTACAATAATTAATGTGCACTATGATTCACATTTATTTGATGTAGCTATAAGAACACATAAAATGATGGAGTCAGAGTAATAAAAAGGAATAAAGCTATATCTGCCAGATGAATATCAAAATGACATTTTACTTGGTCAATTACAGTAGTAACATTGTATCTACATACTGAAAGAACCAAAAGGGTGATTGCATGCATCATTGTGAAATGCAAAGAAAAATTCGTAGAAATCTATCTAATAATCTAAGAGGATATTATTGAGATATCGATTTAACATTTTAATACTTTCCCTGTTGTTACAGTTGAAGTCCTAGTATGCCCTATAAAATCGCCAATAATACATTTAAGTTGCACAAAATCATCCAGTGAAGGTAAAAGAAGTTTCCAATTAGATAATATGCATTCCCTCAAAAAAAGAATGGTGACACATTGTAAGTGACAAATGGCACCAAACACACTCAGATCCATCTAAGAGTTGCAAATATTCACAAAAGGGGAAAGTAAACAAAAATCACATCAATGTAACTAGTGATAAATCTTGCACGATTCATGCTTTGTTCTTACCAGGAACGCACAAATACTTCCTTCCATCGCACCGGCATACCAGAAAAAATCGGCAGTCAATCTGGTAAGTTCCAATGCTGTAGAATAATGAGCATTTGCATCAACAGGTGATCCAGCCAACAAGCAGTAATCTCCAATGGTTTTTTGTGCACGGCCAAGCCTCCGCTTTTTTGCTTTAATCACCTGTAAATTTTTCAGTGAGAAAGTCAGGCTGTTGAGAAGAAAAGCATCCATTTAGCTAAATGGCATAAGAAATCAATAAGACCATCTGACACCTAAAACCTAAACCTCCTCTGAGCTCAGACTCGCTTGAGAATCTAGAGGTGTCTTCAGGATAGTCCCACCAGATTCTGCCTGGAGAACCCATTTCTCAAATTCCATCAACAGTGAAGCAGCAATATCTTGCACCATTGTTTGCAAATGGAATTCCTGAGTTTGTCGATCAGCAGGGGGAAACAGTACTATGTTACTCCCCTTATAACTCTCTTCTTCTAGCTGCAACACAATCCAAGTAACCCAGTTGCAACAAGTCATGCCATATAATGATATAAATGAAAAAATCATCCATGAGAAAAGACGAAAAAAAAAAAAAGAGGTGCAAAATAATAATATGATGTTTTGTTTTACTTTAATTTTTTTTTTCTAAAAAATTTGGAGAACACAAACTACTCTAAAATCATAATACAAATTCAATGAAGGAATGTGGTTCTAAAAAGTTTGGAGAACACAAACTACTCTAAAATCATAGTACAAATTCAATAAAGGAATGTGGAATAGTGATAGAAGAGCTCATTTCCAGAAGAATCAAACTCTACCCGAGTGAAAAAGCATTGGTATCTATTCAATCAACATAAGACCGGTAGTATGGGCATAGTATTGCAATAAAATCCATAAACCATGAGTATCGAGTATATGAAGAAACCAAAGATTCCAGGTCTTCAATGCTACAAAGAGAAGGAGAGACAGAGATTCGCACACAAACATGTTAACTTTCTTCGCATAAAAGATTTACTAACATAAATCCTCACCAAGCCACTCAAATTATTCCACTTTCCACTGTAACCTCATCAGCAGTTGGCGATCAGATCAATGACACTAACCTGCGAGTCTCCAGGACAGAAGGCGAAGCATCGCTGAACAAGTGAGGATGAATAGCTCTTACATGCTGCAGCGAACTGATTGGCAACAGAGAGAAGATCGGGAGAGGAAGGACAGTGGCAAAGGCCAATGACAGCAAGGATCTTGCGGTTGGACTGGAAATCCTCCCAGGGAGAGGGTGGCGCACCGCCGAGCATGAACTTGAAGCAGAGGCTTCCGGAATCCCACGGCTGGTTTGCAAATGGGGATTTCTGGTGCTCCGTGTAGAAGGAGCTGATGGAGTTTAGGGAGACGGTGTGGTGGCGGAGGAGCATGGCAGCATAGTCCTGGAAGAGAGTTGGGGATATGGCGGCGATCGGAAGGACCGCCACTCGAATCATACTGCTGGTTTCGATGCTGGCGTCGGGTTCCATTTTCCAGCGACGAATCTGAATCAGTTGGGCGTGAAGGTTTGAAGGCCAAAAGGAAAAGATTACAGAAACACGCCCTCTTCAAGATCTATAAGAAAGTCGCTCGATTATGCGCTTCTACAGTCGACATAAATTGCTAGCCCACTATAGTACTTTGTATTTTGGGATTCGTCTTGTTAGAAAGCCTACTCTCAAATTTGGGATTTGAAGCCCAAAAATTACAAGGCTCCATAGACAATTCCTCATTATCAAATACAAAAGAAAAAAGGTTTAGAAGTTATAAAAAAAAAAAAAAAAAAATCATATTGAAATTTATGAAAAAACTAAGATCCCGGAACCATTCCGTCGGAGTTTATAACCGTTAGATCATCATACGGTTACAAACCTCGACAGAATAGTTCCGTAACGGGACCTTAACACCTTCCTGAAATTTATCAAACTTTCATGTGTTAGTACTTCGTAATAATGCTACGTGTTAATTTTTTTTTTTTCGGAGTATTTCGTTTATATATGGACTTCTTTCTATATTTTATTTATTAAAATTTTTAAAACTGCAAAACATTTATCTTACTTAAATTATAAAATACATTTTAAAAATAAACAACTTTTCCATTTATTATTAATTTATATATCATCAAATTAATTATTTATTGACGTTCGACATTCATATTACATATATAAAATTCATAAAGAAATGCATTTATTTTTATCGAATTGTTTTTTAATACTTATATCAATAAAATTATATATCAAGTAATATATATATATATATATATATATATATATATATAAAGTTGTTTATATGATATAATTTAGAATAACAGATAAATCATACAAGTGAATCATTTCATTTTAAATATAAATAATAATTTAATTTTTATTTTAAAAAAATATATAAAGTTTAATTAAAATATTTGAGTATTTTATTTTTAAAATCTAAATCTAATTTTTTTGACAAAGCACTAATGTAATATGGTACTGTCTTACTTTATTGTAAATTGTAAAGAGAACACTAATACTAAGTATTAGGTGAAGCTTTCCGCATTATGTAGCTAATTTTTTCTTTACTATGTAAGGAAAAAAACACTGAAATTACGAACTTGTGTTCATTTTCAAACAATTTTCTAGGTTGGCATACAAGTTCATTTTCGGACTATATTCAGATCTTTTTGTTTTAGTTGTTTTGGTTTTGATTGTTTTGTTGTATTTTGGGCGTTGGACACGTGACTTTTCAACCCATTTAGGGCTTTATATGCAGTATATAATATATACATAGGTTGGAAGTCTGGCATTAACTCACACTTGTAGGATATTGTTTTCCAAAAAAAAAAAAAA